AGGCTGAAGTGGCAGGATCGCTTGAGACCAGGAATTCAAAGTTGCAGTGAGCTACGATTGCACCACCGCACTCCAGCCTGGGCAACACAGTGAGACCCTGTCTCTAAAAAAAGAAATTTAAAGTTAAAATGAAAATAACAGAAAAACCCAACTGCATTCTGAATTATATACTTGGAGACTTGGAGAATGTGTGTGCTCCTACCCTCTCCCCAGTTTAAGACTATTATTCATTCTCTTACTATGGATTAGTTTAATCAGATTACAAGGAGGTGTTGGACAATTTTGCCATATGGAAAAAGTAGGCCTTGACGAGGCAAGGGGAATTTTTGGTAAGCACTATGGTACTGAACTGGCTTCTAGAAGCAAGGCAGAGGAGTCATGAGCCAAAAGACTGCCAGTCAAGTTAAACTACCTTCACGGTTATACAGGAATATATCATGAAAGTAGTCCAAGCTGGGATACCTTTGGGAGGTAGAGGACTGGTACCCTTCCTAGACTGGATTTGATGGCTTGAAGAGGGGAAGGAGAACGGGCCTCTGGGGTCTGAGACCACAGCTGTATCAACTAGGATTGAGTTCATTTGTGAGTAATAGAGACTCTAAAACTAGTGGCTAAAAAGTTTATTTCTCAAATGAAAGAAATTTAGAAATAAGCTGTCTAGGATTGGTATGACAACTCCATGGACATAAGGGATCCAGGCTCCTTCCAGCTTTCCATACTGTTGTCCCTAGGGTATGGTCCTCATCCTTAAGATTTAAAATGGCTGCTAGAGCTCCAGCCATCACATCATAGTTCCAAGCAGTAGAATGGAAGAAGGAAGTAAGGAGTACATGCCATCTCCCTTCTAAGACTTCCCAAAAGTTCTACCCAATACTTTAGCTTACTCATTGACTATAACTTAACCTAGCTGCAATGGAGCCTGACAAATGTACCTTTTAGCTGAGAAGCAGTATGCCAAGTGAAAAAACTGGGATTCCTTTGAGAGAGAACTGGAGAGTAGATATTTAGCAGGCAACTAGAGCCTGTACCACAACAGCCTAAAAGCCAGAGTAGGCACGGTCACTAAGGAATCCAGTTGATTCAACCACACATTCCCTTAGCACTTATGGAGCAGTCATAATACAAGAACCACTTCTACCATAAAACTCTGAGCTCGTTTCGATGTGTTGGGTATAAAGATACTAAACTTATTTGTCGTATTCTTTTATTTTATTTTATTTTATTTTATTCTATTTTAGATTATTTTTTTGAGACAGAGTCTCGCTTTGTTGCCCAGGCTAGAGCAAGTGCCGTGGCGTCAGCCTAGCTCACAGCAACCTCAAACTCCTGGGCTCAAGGGATCCTCCGGCCTCCGCCTCCCGAGTAGCTGGGACTACAGGCATGCGCCACCATGCCCGGCTAATTTTTTGTATATATATATTTTTAGTTGGTCAATTAATTTCTTTCTATTTTTGGTAGAGACGGGGTCTCGCTCAGGCTGGTTTCGAACTCCTGACCTCAAGCAATCCTCCCGCCTCGGCCTCCCAGAGTGCTAAGATTACAGGCGTGAGCCACCGCGCCCGGCCTATCCTATTCTTTTAACAGTTACTGCATGTCAGTAAATGCCAGGCATAGCACTGGAGAGAAAAAGATAGTAAGACATGGTTTTTAATCTTAAAAATCTCACTGTCCAGTGGGTGTCTGCTGTTTTTGTCTTCCCAGGACTCCATCCCCCTTCATCAGATAAACCCTCTTTCCACTGAGAAACATATTCCCTGTGCTTTGGGTGGGTTGGAGCCTATTTCTCCTCCAGAGTCAGGAGATGGGATGACAAGAGCCTGGTGGTGGCCGGGTGAGGTGGCTCATGCCTGTAATCCTAGCACTCTGAGAGGCAGAGGCGGGTGGATTGCTCGAGGTCAGGAGTTCGAAACCAGCCTGAGCAAGAGGAAGACCCCGTCTCTACTATAAATAGAAAGAAATTAATTGGCCAGCTAATATATATAGAAAAAATTAGCCGGGCATGGTGGCGCATGCCTGTAGTCCCAGCTATTTGGGAGGCTGAGGCAGGAGGATTGCTTGACAAGCCCAGGAGTTTGAGGTTGCTGTGAGCTAGGGGGATGCCAACAAACTCTAGCCCGGGGAACAGGGTTAAAATCTGTTTCAATAAAAAAAAAAAAAAAGAGCCTGGTGGTTAACCTTGCATCTAATCATGACCACAGTTAGTACAGTTAGATCCATCTCGGCCTTTCAGGTTGTTTGGACCAAACACACTTCCTTTTTGCTTAGGCTAGTTTGAGTTACTTTCTGTCACTTGTAACCACAGGTCCTGTTTAATCAGGAGTTTCCCACAAGATGGAAGTTACTGTACAAAGGAATGTAGGGTGTCATCTTTGCCTTCCATTGTCGTCAGTTCCCACTTTAACCTGCAAGTGGGTTAAACCTGCAAGATTCTTTTTGCAGGTTTCATCCATATCCCATATTTGTGTCTTCCCTCACTTTATCACTACTGCTCCTGCTGCCTTGCATGGCCGATTGTACCACTTACCCTGACTCTACACACTCATGTCCTTAAAACAGCTCTGACCCCCTCATGAGAGAGGCAATCTTGTCACATCTTGTGGGGGAAAGAGGAGGTCATGATATTTTAGGCAACACTGAGAACCCAGAAAATATGAAATGCAGTGTGAATATCTATTGTTTCACTCTGAAGGGAGCTGTTTCCCCGAAAGGGAAAAAAGTTTGCTTTAGTACGAAGGCCACTGCAAGAGAAACACCGGCCCAGTGCCTTCAGCTGAGAAATAAATTTCATTAGAGTCACAGTTATTGTCTATTGTTCCCATTGGTTGTTCAGGTTGGGCTGAGATCTGATTTTCACTTCGATTCTCACAGTTGGCATTATTACTTCCCTTTGTGTAACTTTTGGGAAAAAAATTCGCTATGAATCAGATTTTGTTTTTAGCTCCCACCAAAGAGAGACTTTTTTTTTTTTTTTAATACAATGAGAACAGACTCAGATCAAAAATACTTACGTCACAGTGGAATATCTTTCAGGAGTACTGTTGAGTCCTCTGCCTTTCATTGTTTCGTAATCTGCAATTGCACGACTCTTCCCGCTCCTAATTTAGAACGGGGTGCACCTGCTGCCTAAACCCTTTGACTTCCTTTACCCCGGGCTTCCTCTTTTTTTATGTTTTGGTTTTTTTTTTTTTTTTTCGTGATATTTGCAAAGCTGAGATTTATTACTGGATGCTTCCCAGTCAAGGGAACATTCACATCTCCCAAACTTTAAGGGAACACATTTCATGATTCCCATCTTGTTCTAGGCCAGGGGTGGGGAACCTGCGGCCTTGGGGCCACATGTGGCTTTCTGGATCCTTGAGTAGAGCCTTTTGACTGAGTCCAAATTTTATAGAACAATTTTTTTTTTTTGAGGCAGAGTCTCACTCGGTCGCCCAGGCTAGAGTGCCGTGGTGTCAGCCTAGCTCACAGCAACCTCAAACTCCTGGGCTTAAGCGATCCTTCTGCCTCAGCCTCCCAAGTAGCTGAGACTACAGACATGTGCCACCATGCCCGGCTAATTTTTTCCTTTTTTTTTGAGACAGAGTCTCACTTTGTTGCCCAGGCTAGAGTAAGTGCTGTGGCATCAGCCTAGCTCACAGCAACCTCACACTCCTGAGCTCAAGCAATCCTCCTGCCTCAGCCACCCGAGTAGCTGGGACTACAGGCATGCACCACCATGCCCGGCTAGTTTTTTCTATATATATTAGTTGCCCAATTAATTTCTTTCTATTTATAGTAGAGACGGGGTCTCGCTCTTGCTCAGGCTGGTTTCGAACTCCTGACCTCGAGTAATCCGCCCGCCTCGGCCTCCCAGAGTGCTGGGATTACAGGCGTGAGCCACCTCGCCCGGCCCAAATCCTTTTAATAAAGGGACTTGTTCTGTGAAGTTTGGATTCGGTCGAGGGTAGAATCTAGGCTGAAGAACTTCAGCTGAAGTTCAGACTGAAGACTGGATCTTTAATCTTCCCAGAGATTCTGTGAGGGGTCACATAGGCTTCCAAAATTTTCTGGCCTTAAGTTACGTAAATTCTGTTTCTGGTGTTTGAAACCAAGATTTTTTTCATTGTGATTAAAAAAAACATATAACATGAAATTTACTATCTTAACTATTTTTAAGTGTACAGTTCAGTAGTGTTAACGAAATGCACCTTGTTGTGAGAAAGATCTCTGGAACTTTTTCATCTTGCAAAACTGAAATTCCATACCCATTAAACAACTCCCCATTTCCTCCCCCCGCCCCCAGCTCCTGGCAACCCCCATTCCATTATACTTTCTGTCTCTGTGAACTTGACTACTCTAGGAGCCTCATTCAAAGGGAATCAGACAGTATTTGTCTTTTGGTGACTGGCTTATTTCACTTAGTGTAATGTCCTCAAGGTTCATCATGTTGTAGCATGTGACAGGATTTCCTTTTCAAGGCAGAATAATATTCCATTGTGTGGATACCACATTTTGTTTGTCTACTCATCTGTCAATGGACATTTGGGTTGGTTCTACCTCTTGGCTGTTCTGCATAATGCTGCTATGAACATGGGTGTGCAGACATCCCTTTGAGACCCTGCTTTCAACTCATTTTTGCCCATATACCCAGAAGTGGGATTGCTGGATCATATGGTAGTTATATTTTCAATTTTCTGAGGAACCTCCATACTGTTTTCCACCTTTGATTTTAACCCAGAGATATGTACATTTTAATCTGTTTGCAGATTAAAGGAAATGCCAATGTTTTTGGCAGACAATGAGGAAAAAAAAGATGGAACAGAATTTATGTCAAATTGAAATTACAAAATGAAATTATGACAGAGTCACATCAATAACCCTTTCATTTTGATATCAGACTCTTCAAAATTTATATTCATTTTCCCACATGTTTTTTTTGGCCTCTTCTCATTAAACCATAGTTCCTCTACTAGAATGAATTCTCAGAGATAAAGAACAGTGAGAGCTTCTCCGGGAAAACACCAAATGGCGGATGACGCCGGTGCAGCGGGAGGGCCCAGAGGCCCCGGGGGCCCTGGAATGGGAGGCCGCGGCGGCTTCTGTGGAGGCTTCGGCAGGGCATTCGTGGCCGTGGTCGGGGCCAGGGCCTAGGTCGCGGAGCTCGCGGAGGCAAGGCCGAGGACAAGGAGTGGATGCCCGTGACCAAGCTGGGCCGCCTGGTTAAGGACATGAAGATCAAATCCCTGGAGGAGATCTATCTGTTCTCCTTGCCTATCAAGGAGTCTGAGATCATTGATTTTTTTCCTGGGAGCATCTCTCAAAGATGAGGTTTTGAAGATCATGCCAGTGCAAAAGCAGACCCGCGCTGGCCAGCGGACCAGGTTCAAGGCGTTTGTTGCTATTGGGGACTACAATGGCCACGTTGGTCTAGGTGTTAAGTGCTCCAAGGAGGTAGCCACTGCCATCCGAGGGGCCATCATCCTGGCCAAGCTCTCCATAGTCCCCGTGCGGAGAGGCTACTGGGGGAACAAGATCGGCAAGCCCCACACTGTTCCTTGCAAGGTGACAGGCCGCTGTGGCTCTGTGCTGGTGCGTCTCATCCCTGCCCCTAGAGGAACTGGCATTGTCTCGGCCCCTGTGCCCAAGAAGCTGCTGATGATGGCTGGTATCGATGACTGCTACACTTCAGCCAGGGGTTGCGCTGCCACCCTGGGCAACTTCGCAAAGGCCACCTTCGATGCCATCTCCAAGACCTATAGCTATCTGACTCCTGACCTTTGGAAAGAGACAGTATTCACCAAGTCTCCCTACCAGGAATTCACTGACCATCTTGTCAAGACCCACACCAGAGTCTCTGTGCAGAGGACCCAGGCTCCAGCTGTGGCTACCACATAGCATTTTTATATGAGAAAAATAAAGTGAAATTAAGTCTGTTAACAAAAAAAAAAGAAAAAAGAAAAAAAGAACAGTTAGAGATCCACTTTTTCTCTTTTATTTTATTTTATTTTACTTAATTACTTTTTTCTTTTTTTCTTTTTGTTAATCACAAGGAGATAATTGAGACTGAAACACTTTTTCTCTTTTAGAGCTCTCTTTTATTATAAAACAGTTGAAATAAAACTAGATAGAGGTCAGGCACGATGTTTCACACCTGTAATCTCAGAATTTTGGGAGGCTGAGGTGAGAGGATTGCTTGAGGCCAGGAATTAGAGACCAGCCTGGTCAACATAGTAGGACCCCATCTCTATAAAAAACAATAAAAATTAGCTGGGCATCGTGGCGCACGCCTGTAGTCCTACATATTTGGGAGGCTGAGGCAGGAGGATCACTTGAGCCCAGGAGTTCAAGGATGCAATGAGCTATGGTGATGCCTCTACACTGCAGCCTGGATGACAGAGTGAGATCCCGTCTCAAACAAAACAAAACAACAACAACAAAAAGCCCACCTAGACAGAAACCAAAGCTCTTGCATGCTCACTGTTACATAACTATTTTTATGGCTAAAATTATGTGCATAAGAAGTTTCACATAAAGCACTATTGTGCTACGCCTTTACACCAAAGTACTCTGTTAAAACACACACACAGAGAAGGTCCAATCTCTTAAATAGTGTCTTTTTGAACATTTTCTGTGTCAAAACTCTTAGCCTAAATGGTGGAGGTAAGCAAACCAACATGACAGATGTCAGCCATGGACATTTCCTCTCTACCTTTTTCTGCTGAAAGAATGGGAAGATTAAATGGTGTTATGTGATGCCCAGGTTTCTTTTTTGTTGTTTTTCCGGAGACAGAGTCTTGCTCTGTTGCCTGAGTAGAGTGCAGTGACATCATCATAGCTCACAGCAACCTCCAACTCCTGGGCTTAAGCAATCCTCCTGCCTCAGCCCCCTGAGTAGCTAGGACTACAGGCACACAGCATGCCAGGCTAATTTTTCTATTTTTAATAGGGACAGGGTCTCGCTCTTGCTCAGGCTGGTCTCAAACTCCTGAGCTCAGGCCATCCTTCTGCCTCCCAGAGTGCTCAGGCATGAGCCACTGTGGCTGGCCAAACCCAGGTTTCTTGAGTAGAAACTCTCTGAGGACATCCTGGGGTGGTGAGTGCTAAACCAAAGAGGATAGAATCAGGGTTGTGGATTCCAACTACCTCAGATAATTCCCTTCCTTTTCTGAGCAGCTGCCTTGCTTCCTAAGCAGTCTAGAAGACAGTGATTCTTGCCCTTTCCCACACATTCAAATCACCTGGGGCAATTTTAAAAATTCCAAAGTCTGGGAAGTATTTCAGACCAAAAGATGTCAGAATCCCTAGGAGGTGGGACACAGGCAGTATTTTTTTTTTTTTTTTTTTTTGAGACAGAGTCTCACTTTGTTGCCCAGGCTAGAGTGAGTGCCATGGCGTCAGCCCGCCTCCGCATCCCAGAGCCACCGCACCCGGCCACAGGCAGTATTTTTGTAAAGCTCCCCAGGCCTGAGAACTGTGCCTAAGACAAAGAGCAGATGACAACTGCTTTTCCCAGCAGCATCATGGTTTTTAAAGAACAACAATTCATCTTGGCCGGGCACGGTGGCTCTCGCCTATAATCCTAGCACTCTGGGAGGCCGAGGCGGGCAAATTGCTCAACGTCAGGAGTTCGAAACCAGCCTGAGCAAGAGCAAGACTCCGTCTCTACTATAAATAGAAAGAAATTAAGGCCGGGTGCGGTGGCTCACGCCTGTAATCCTAGCACTCTGGGAGGCCGAGGCGGGCAAATTGCTCAACGTCAGGAGTTCGAAACCAGCCTGAGCAAGAGCAAGACTCCGTCTCTACTATAAATAGAAAGAAATTAAGGCCGGGTGCGGTGGCTCACGCCTGTAATCCTAGCACTCTGGGAGGCCGAGGCGGGCAAATTGCTCAACGTCAGGAGTTCGAAACCAGCCTGAGCAAGAGCAAGACTCCGTCTCTACTATAAATAGAAAGAAATTAATTGGCCAACAACTAATATATAGAGAAAAAATTAGCCGGGCATGGTGGCACATGCCTGTAGCCCAACTACTCGGGAGGCTGAGGCAGGAGGATCGCTTGAGCCCAGGAGTTTGAGGTTGCTGTGAGCTAGGCTGACGCCACGGCACTCACTCTAGCCTAGGCAACAAAGAGAGACTCTGCCTCAAAAAAAAAAAAAAAAAGAACAACAATTCATCTTATTAAAGAACAACACGCAAACTTTCATTTCAAAGTTGAAGTGCTGTATAGTCCTGTGACATTTATGGGCTGATAAATATAACAGCAAAGATCCCTCAAGGATCATTCTATGAGAATGAGCAAATGGATAAAATATATGCACTGCAAATTGGTGTGTCCCCAAATTAATTTCCATGAACAAAATCATTTTTCAATCTTATAACTATTTACCCTCACTATGGCTTACCTATCATTTCTCCCATTTGTATAGAACTTTCCACTTTTCAAAGAGCTCCAGGTCTGCTCTTACTTGGGATGTCTACATGTAGATTCCCACGCAATTTTGCTTCTTGTGGTTCATCATGAGTATTGAATGCTTGTGACTCACTGGAATGTTTACCCTTTTAATTCTTTTTAACAGCCTTCGTCCTGGTCTCCTTCTACCTTTGATGTTAACTGGCTAACGCCATGGTTCATTTCCTGTTATTTGCAACTTTGGAATGAAACGCAAACATGAAGTCAAAGCAAATGAAAGGCCCATGCCAGCTATCCTGTTAAGGACTGCAGCTGTGGTGTTGGAAGGTTCCAGTGCACCTTCCCTCCTCCTACACCCCAGATGGAGGAGGCCTTCCTTCGCAGGCAGGGTTATGAAGGTTGGCCTAAGGCTCTCTAAGCAAATGTGTTGTCTGCTTCAGTGGTTGGTTTTTCCTAAAGCTGAATCACATAGTTTTGCTGCTTGGGAGATGTATTTGACAAAACTCAAGTGGAGAATTTGTCCTAGTTTAGTTAGCATATAAGGCAGGGGTCCTCAAACTTTTTAAACAGGGGGCCAGTTCACTGTCCTGCAGACCGATGGAGGGCCAGACTATAGTTTAAAAAAAAACTATGAACAAATTCCTATGCACACTGCACATATCTTATTTTGAAGTAAAAAAACAAACAGGCAAAAACACCCGCATGTGGCCCGAGGGCCGTAGTTTGAGGACCCCTGATATAATAAGGCTTTGTCCTTGAATGTCCTTTTCCCTGAGATTCTGGATATATATATATATTTTTTTTTTCTTTTTCTTTTTTTTTTTTTTTTTGAGACAGAGTCTCACTCTGATTTCTGGGCTAGAGTGCTGTGGCATTAGCCCAGCTCACAGCAACCTCAAACTCCTGGCCTCAAGCAATCCTCCTGCCTCAGCCTCTCCAGTAGCTGTGACTACAGATATGCGCCACCATGCCCAGTTATTTTTTTCTATATATTTTTAGTTGGCCAATTAATTTCTTTCTATTTATAGTAGAGACGGAGTCTTGCTCTTGCTCAGGCTGGTTTCGAACTCCTGACCTTGAGCAATCCACCTGCCTCAGCCTCCCACAGTGCTAGGATTACAGGCGTGAGCCACTGCGCCCGGCCGCCCGGCTGCCCAGCTGATTCTGGATATATTAGTAATAATATGGTGCAATTTTGCTTGTTGGTTGGTGAGCGGGGATGAAGTGGAGGGGTTATAGGCAGTTTCCTATGCAGAATTTGGAGTCAGAGGTACTTGTTTTTATCTCAATTTATAACTCAGTTCCAAATTCCAAGGTCATAAACTTGAACATCCACCTCACAAGTTGATTGTCCTGATTAAACAAGATAATGTAAGTTATGCACAGTAAATGTGGTTCCTGAAGCAGCCACCTATGTGATCACATTCTGGTTTTATTATACTTTCTGGCATAAGAAAAAACATCCAAATCTACCAAGTCTTACCTGGTACCTTACTATATGGCAGGCTTGTGCTGTACAAGATGGGAGTTCAAGGATGCAAGGACGGAGAACAGAGTAGGAATTCCAGGAAGGGAAAACATCACTAACCGCTGAGCTGTTATCTCAGTGCTTGGCTCTGATTCCTGCAGGTCAAAACCCAAAACTTGCTCTCCCCTTGGTGTCCCCGCTTGGCCTGAGAATTAAATTGACATCAGATAGATGAACAGGAGAAAAACATACAAATTTAATATAAGTTTTATGTAACATGGGAGCCCTCATAAGGAAATGAAGACCCAAATAAGTATTAATAGCAAAACCTACATGCTTTTGTAGTTGGTTGAACAAAATAGGGCAATGGTGGGAAAGTAACTAAATTATGTGGGGCAGCTAAAGGAAGTTAAGCATTAGTTTAACAAAGCCTATTTGTACAGAAATCTTTTGGCTGTGACTCCCCATTGAAGAATGTTTCTTTTCTTCTGGTACAGGGAGGGTATCTTTCACATGGGAGTTTTTCTCTCCTGTTTGCAGGAAGAAAAAGGAGATTAGGATGCCCTTCTTGCATCTGCTGTTTTTCTTTTTCTTTTCTTTTTCTTTTTTTCTTTTTTTCTTTCTTTCTTTTTTTTTTTTTTTTTTTTTTTTGAGACAGAGTCTCACTCTGTTGCCCAGGCTAGAGTGCCGTGGCGTCAGCCTAGCTCACAGCAACCTCAAACTCCTGGGCTCAAGCGATCCTCCTGCCTCAGCCTCCTGAGTAGCTGGGACTACAGGCATGCGCCACCATGCCCGGCTAATTTTTTCTCTATATTTTTAGTTGGCCAATTAATTTCTTTCTATTTTTTAGTAGAGACGGGGTCTTCCTCTTGCTCAGGCTGGTTTCGAACTCCTAACCTTGAGCAATCTTCCTGCCTCGGCCCCCCAGAGAGCTAGGATTACAGGCGTGAGCCACTGTGCCCAGCCCATCTGCTGTTTTTCAAGTGCCTTTAACTTGAAGTAATCCTTATGTCAAAGTGGCATATTTTGGGGTGGACTGTTCTGCCACTGTTCAGCTGCATTTTGCAGCAGGCCCACCCTCAAGGCAGGGAAGATGGCAGCCAACAGCCCCAGGCTATGGCCTCCAAGTTTGTGAACTGTCATGAAATAGTGGATTGGCCTGGTTCACCCAGCCCTGGGCCAACTCCTGGGGCAGGGGTCTTGGAGAGAGGCAGGTCATCCTGACTGATCATCTTACCAAGACAGCATGCAGAGAGTACAGGAGTTCTGCAAATGAATGAAAGAAGGGAAATGAAGGAGTAGGCTAGACAAAGACTACAGCTACTACAGGCCACAGTATTTGCAATTCTGTTTACTTGCTTTCCAGACAGAAAACTAAAAATCTGTACTATTCCATAAAAAAAAAAAAAACAGAAACCAAATAGCCCTGTGTGTAGTTACCCTGTGCTGTCTACCAGATTCTGCATTAATGTTAGTGTCATACTGATCCCTGTATAAACACTTCAAAAAATGTTCAGTATGTTGCTCATCTCCCTCCCCTGCTGCTCGGCACATTTTTCCCTACAGTCTCTCACAACTCCTTTGTTTTTTTCCTGTTCTCTTCCCTTGCCCTGCTTGCAAATCATGTGATTATTTGAAAATGCATTCTCTTTGTCTTCATCTTCCTTATCCTTTAGGCTTTTCACTATCCTTTAGACTAAAAGTCTTGTTTTTAGACTTTTTTGAAAATAAAACACTAATGATGGAAACCTTTCCTAAAAGTCATCAGGATGTTATACTCAACATATACTCGAAAAATTGAGCCTGTTTATCGCTTCTCGGCCTTTTGGCTAAGATCAAGTGTAGTATCAAGTGAGCCTGTTACCCCCAGAGCCATCCCAGACTTTAAGAGTACAGGTGGGAGTGTGTAGATTGTGAGGATGATATGATTCTGTTTTAGAAAAAGAAAAAAGTTAGGCATGAATCCAACAGTTTCAGCCAGAACAGCTTCAAAAAGAGGTCTTCCATATAAATATTCATATTAAAAGATAATATTTTCAGTCAGAATAATCTCCTTCAAATCTTTAAATGATTCTGAAAACATATTTGATATACTATTCCCCAAATACATGTGTGTGTTTTATATTCTTTGTTTATTTTCAGTACTCAAAATAATAAAGGCAAAGGTTTATACAAGTTCTGAAGAAACTGTTTCCTTAACAGGAAATGAAACTGCCAGTGCTTCACAAAGCAGACAAAATAACTAATTTGATGAAGAAATCATGCTGATTCACCAGAAGAAAACTGTCTTAATCATAATCAACTGAACATTTGTGTGTAAGTATTTTTAAAATTAAATTGCCATAAAAATTAAATTGCTTTAGAGATAAAGTTATGTAATAGTGTAATCCACGATTTAAAATGTATTTTTAGAATTTCTGACTTACATGCTGAAAACATGCAAGTCACAGTCATTTGACATTTTGGGGTAGGGCAGTTGGAGTTGGAAGTGGGAAGAAAAGTCACTGCAAAATTTTAAGGACAAAGTAATGTCAGGCCACATATACTACTTTTTATTATTTGAGAGTCTGAATTTTTAGTGAACTGTTTTCACTATAAACCAATTAGAAAGTTGCATAGGCTAGGCTTAGTGGCTCACGCCTGTAATCCTAGCACTTTGGGAGCCCGAGAAAGGAGGATCACTTGAGCCAGGAGTTCAAGACCAGACTGAGCAACATAGCGAGACCCTGTGTCTATAAAAAATTTTAAAATTAGCCAGGCCAGGTAAGGTGGCTCACGCCTGTAATCCTAGCACTCTGGGAGGCCAAGGCAGGCAGATCGCTCAAGGTCGGGAGTTCAAAACCAGCCTGAGCAAGAGCAAGACCCTGTCTCTACTAAAAATAGAAAGAAATTAATTGGCAAACTAAAAATATATAGAGAAAAAATTAGCCGGGAATAGTGGCATATGCTTGTAGTCCCAGCTACTTGGGAGGCTGAGGCAGAAGGATTGCTTGAGCCCAGGAGTTTGAGGTTGCTATGAGTTAGGCTGACACCACAGCACTCTAGCCCAGGAAACAAAGTGAGACTCTGTCTCAAAAAAGAAAAAAAAAAAAATTAGCCAGGCATGGTGGCACGAACCTGTAGTCCCACCTTCTTGGCAGACTAAGGCAGGAGGATCACTTCAGCCAGGAGTTCAAGGCTGTACTGAGCTGTGCTCATGCCACTGCACTCCAGCTTGGGTGACAGAGAGAGACCTTGTCTCACAAAAAAAAGAAAAGAAAATAAAGGTAGTCACATAACTTTAAACAAAATTTTTTGGGGGGCTTGCTTTGTTTTTTTAAGTAACTACTTTGTTAACCGATTATTTGGTTTTCCTCATAGTCTTCTGAATTTTTTAACTATAGCTTGTAATTCTTGCAATATATACTTTATCACCTTGCTCACTTTACACACATGACTTTCTCTGCTAGAGAAACTGGAAAGCAAAATGCTAGAATTTTCAGACTCATTTACAGCTAAGGGTTGCCATGTGACACATTTCAGCCAATGAAATGTAGGTGGAAGTGCTTGGAAATGGCTTTCTTCAAAATTCAAAAAAGACCAAGTTATATGAGGAAAAGCTGGCTTATTTACGTTCTACCTTCCTCTTTTCCCTGTGTAGAAAATGTACACCTTGCTTGGAGGTGCAGGAAGTGACCTTAAGCTGAGAGCTGAGGAAGAGTAGGAAGTTACTTAGATGAAGAAGAGTGGAGACCTCCAAAGAAGAATGGTGCCATGTCAATAATTATATTTAATAAAGAATGACTGAAAAAAAAAAAAGAATGATTGAAGGACCGGTTATCTGATGTGTCTATCTTTGAATCATCAGTGGATGGGGCAGTCAGTACTCCTGCTCCAATGCGCAGAATTAAGGCTACAATTGGGTGAGTGGAAACAACAGAGAGACAGCTTTCAACTCCAGGGTAGCTGAACGTTTTGACAAAAAGAGCTTTCAAATAATGCTTTGAGCTACCAGGTAGGTAGTAATTTCCCTATGGCTGAATGTGTTCAAGCAGATGCTGACTCACACCCACCCAGGAACGATAAAAATGGGAGGCCTGCCTTAGGGCAGTGACTGTACTATTTCAGTTTGCTTTAAACACTTTTGCTTACATATGCCCTAAAACAATTTTTTTTTTTTTTTTGAGACAGAGTCACACTCTGTGGCCTGGGCTAGAGTGCTGTGGCGTCAGCCTAGCTCACAGCAACCTCAAACTCCTGGGCTCAAGCGATCCTCCTGTCTCAGCCTCCTAAGTTGCTGGGACTACAGGCATGCGCCACCATGCCTGGCTAATTTTTTTTTTCTATATATGTTTAGTTGTCCGGCTTGTTGTTTTCTATTTTTTTAGTAGAGATAGGGTCTCACTCTTGCTCAGGCTGGTCTCAAACTCCTGACCTCAAGCGATCCTCCCGCCTCGGCCTCCCAGAGTGCTAGGATTCCAGGCGTGAGCCACCACGCCCGGCCTCTAAAACAATTTTGAACAACTATGTACCCTCTTACATATTTTGCATTTTAAAAATTTCATTTAAGGCCGGGCAAGGTGGCTCATGCCTGTAATCCTAGCACTCTGGGAGGCCGAGGCGGGTGGATTGCTCGAGATCAGGAGTTCAAAACCAGCCTGAGCAAGAGTGAAACCCCGTCTAGAAATAGAAAGAAATTACTAGAAATAGAAAGAAATTAATTGGCCAACTAATATATATAGAAAAAATTAGCCTACTTGGGAGGCTGAGGCAGCAGGATTGCTTGAGCCAGGAGTTTGACGTTGCTGTGAGCTAGGCTGACGCCACGGCACTCACTCTAGCCTGGGCAACAAAGCGAGACTCTGTCTCAAAAAAAAAAAAAATTCATTTAAAAGTTTTTCCTTGCCTATTTCAAATTGATGTCTCATATTTGTAAAACCATAGGTTAAAAGGTTGCAAAGAATATTATTTCCAGTGTCCTGTACATTATGCACATGCTTTAAATCTATTTGTGTTGCTTCAAAATCTTGACACAGCTCATTTAGCTCATTCAGTTAATGGAAAGTGCTTGTTCTCTAACCTAATGGCAAAGCCAGTATTCACTATCAAACCAAATCAAACTAATTTTTTTTTGTTTTTTTTTTTGAGACAGCGTCTTGCTTTGTTGCCCAGGCTAGAGTGAGTGCTGTGGCGTCAGCCTAGCTCACAGCAACCTCAAACTCCTGGGCTCAAGCAATCCTCCTGCCTCAGCCTCCCAAGTAGCTGGGACTGCAGGCATGCGCCACCATGCCCGGCTAATTTTTTATATATATATCAGTTGGCCAATTAATTTCTTTCTATTTATAGTAGAGACGGGGTCTCGCTCTTGCTCAGGCTGGTTTTGAACTCCTGACCTCGAGCAATCCGCCCGTCTCGGCCTCCCAGAGTGCTAGGATTACAGGCATGAGCCACCGCGCCCGGCCTCAAACTAATTTTTAAAGAATTATGCAAAGTGTTGGCCCTCTCCCTGCTCATCAAACAGTGGTGGACCTAGACACCTAGAAGTGACAGGATTCTTGCCTTCTAGCTTGTACTCTAGTGGGAGAGACAGATCTTAACCAAAGAATTTCAGAAATAACAGCAATTCACAACTGGGGAAAATGCAATGAAGGAATGCTACTAGAAGGAGGTGGACCGATGGCCTGGGAAGACTTCCCTGAGGAAGTGGCTTTAAAGCTGAGAGCTAAGGAAGAGGGGATGTTACATAGGAGAAGGGGAATGGAAATATTCAAAGAAAGTCTGACTTTATTTTTCAATTCAAATAAACATGAAATATCTCATTTTACTTCTAATGCTTAGATAGAGCAGTTTGTCACCTGGATGAAAAAGTTGCTATTCCCTTCAATATTTTTCTTTTACCAAAGCTTTCTTTTTTCTGGTCTTGAGAAAGAAAATTGTCCCAAACCTAGTCTGGGATAGAAGTTTTACGTCTGATGTAATTTGCAGTTTCTTCTGGGAGGTAGTCAGCAATCCTGATAAAAGCTTGAGTCATCTTTTTCTGGAAAGTTATAGTTACCCCCCAGCTGACTGACTGCTGACACTCTGTAACCAGTAGTTCCTTTATTGTATCCCTTATATATCTCCACTAAAAAAGAAACCTTTGAATTGGCTTACTCAGGAGTCTCTTTGTGGAATTTGAAATAAAACCCTGGTACATGTTCTAAGCAATCTGAGAAACTGGCTTAACTCTCCAGGGAACTGGAGATTTACTTCCTGAATTGTTCTTTGGTTTGGTACCCAGAGGGTTTATTTATTTATTTATTTTATTTTATTTATTTTTTTTTTTGAGACAGAGTCTCACTTTGTTGCCAGGCTAGAGTGAGTGCCATGGCATCAACCTAGCTCACAGCAACCTCAAACTCCTGTGCTCAAGTGATCCTCCTGCCTCAGCCTCCCGAGTAGCTGGGACTACAGGCATGTGCCACCATGCCCGGCTAATTTTTTGTATATATATTTTTTTTAGTTGGCCAATTAATTTCTTCCTATATTTAGTAGAGATGGGATCTCGATCAGGCTGGTTTCAAACTCCTGACCTCGAGCAATCTGCCGGCCTCGGCCTCCCAGAGTGCTAGGATTACAGGCGTGAGCCACCGCGCCCGGCCTATTTTTTTATTATTATTTTATTTTTATGTTTTATAGACAAGGTCTAGCTCTGTCACCCAGGCTGGAGTGCAGAGGCACGGTCATAGCTCACTGGAGCCTTGAACTGGTTCAAGCGATCCTTCCACCTCAGCCTCCCAAGTAACTGGGACAACAGGCATCTGCTACCATGCCTGGCTAATTTTTTTAATTTTTTGTAGAGACAGGGTCTCGATATGTTGTTCAGGCTGGTCTCGAACTCCTTGCCTCAAGTGATCCTCTTGCCTCAGCCTCCTGAGTTGGTGGGATTATAGGCATGAGCTACTGTGCCCAGCTGGTGCCCAGAGGTTTTTATACATTTTGGAACCGGAGTCCCTTAAAACTCAATCTCCCAGAAAGTTCTTGTATAGCTCAAGTGGCAAATATCTGCCAATTTGATGGCCCTAAACTGGATGACTCCTATATGCTTGGGGCAGAGGCTTATATAAATGACTTTAGAGAATAACTTATCAGAGATCACATCAAGTGATTATTCTGAGGGCTACTGGATAGAGGCCTCTAGGGCAGCATCCTATGTCTTTTTGTGTTTTCCCCAAGTCCACTCTTCTCAGTGGCTTCTTTGATGAGGGCAGAGTGATGATTATCCAGTGGTTATTATTCCAGAAAGATCATGTGGTGTTGTAGTGTCCATTAAAAATATCTCTAAAAGGCAGGCCTTGATGGAGTAGACTAGAAAGAAATAAGCTGTTTTGAATTTGTCCCCTAGGGATTGGAGCATATGAAACCTAAGGGTTTGTTTTAAAAGATAAATCTCAAATAATTATCATCTGAACCAAAAGCTTATGTATATTTCATCAGAAGAAAGGCATATTCTTTAAAAGAAAACTTTCAGTTTTGTCTTTTATCACTTGCAAATGTCAACTTTAAATTCTCACTTCTTTTCTTGGTGCAAATGTTATGAAGATACCATTCTTTCCTACAAGTCATTACCAGGAAATACCTAGGTTTTACAAAGTACACTCTACTTTTTTCCCATTGAGTTGTAGTTAGAAAGAATAATAAACTTCATGAAATTCAAACCTAGGACAATACACCCAGAAAAATACTAACATAATAACCTGGGTTGCAAAACTTGTTTAGCAAGTTTCAGCTGGAGGTTAATTAAAACCTGCTTGGAAACCTCTTAAAACACAGACTGGAAAGTAAACCACACATACCACCACCCAGATTCTTCCTTCAGGAGCTTTCTCCTCACCACTTCCCTGGATTTCAATGGGAACATTTCCCCAGAATTCCGTCTGGCCTGGCTGAGACCAAAGTGTCCCTGACCATAGCACAACTTTCCTACCCATCCCAGGAGAAGCGAGGGGACAGTTCTGCAAATGCTACACCTACATTCAGCTCCTTAAGCACTTTTGTCCCTCTGGGTGGTGGAGGTGTGGGCTGAACTTGCCTGTAAGGGAATATTGAACTGGCCGAACATTCTCAAGCCTTAGTCGTATATTCCTTCAGAAGTTCCTGGGGTTACCGCTATTATGTCTTTTGTCCGGGCTTGTTCAGAATGATTGTCAGCTAACACCCCGTTGGTGGATAAGCATCTGCGAGATGTGCAGGAAACAAGGACGGGTATCATTATAACATAATGCTATAACAACATTGCCCAAGACTGCCTCAGTACTACATGCCAGAGTACATAATGGCCATCTCGCTGACAGGCATTTGGATGGCGATTAGTGTTGGATCGAGTCTGGGAATCAGGCTTGAAGCCAGACAAACTGGAAAATGAGTTTTGTCTTTTAACTCCTTGGAGGCCCGTGTGGAAAATTTAGGAGAATAAGTTTTTGTTTGTAGTAACAGAACTATATATATATATATATTTTTTTTTTTTTTTTTTTTGAGACAGAGTCTTGCTTTGTTACCCAGGCTAGAGTGAGTTCCGTGGCGTCAGCCTAGCTCACAGCAACCTCAAACTCCTGGGCTCGAGTGATCCTTCTGCCTCAGCCTCCCGAGTAGCTGGGACTACAGGCATGCGCCACCATGCCCGGCTAATTTTTTCTGTATGTATTACTTGGCCAATTAATTTCTCCCTATTTATAGTAGAGACGGGGTCTCGCTCTTGCTCAGGCTGTTTTCGAACTCCGGACCTCGAGCAATCCGCCTCCCAGAGTGCTAGGATTACAGGCGTGAGCCACCTCGCTTGGCCAGAACTCATATATAATTTGAGGAAGAGAAAACAAAGCAGGGCGGTTCCTGAACCATTTGTCT